GGCTGAAGAGAGAGGTGAGGCTCAGAGAGGTTTGGTAACTTACCTAAGGTTTCCCAGCACTAACAAGTGCAGGTCAGTGCAAGACTGGTCCCTAGGCCCATATGAGCCTAAGGCCCAAGCTGCTTCTACTATGGCTCCACAGCAGGGGACAGGGCTTCGATGTCTGAGTTGGGGGATCTACACACTGGACCTTGGCCAGGGGATCATTGGGCAGGGCCCCTCCCCATGCATGCAGTCCACAGCCCCTGCCACACGGCTGGGCCAACAAGGACACTGTGCCCTGGGAGAGAGAGAAGCCTCATCCCAGCCTGCCTAGGACACTGCCTTCCGGAGTCTGCACTGGGGACACCACATCTTTTCAGTGGGTGTTCATTGAGAACCCATTCCCTGTCAGATACTATGCTTTTGAGATCCCAGAGCCAGTAATCTGCAGATCCCAGCCAAAGATCCCCCACTCAGTCCCCTGGTCTGGTACTCCTTACACCCCACTACACGTTCCCTGTTTCACACCCTCCCAGAAATGCACACATGTGCACACACATACACACACACACAGCCTTCCCTAACCAGCCACCTCTAAACTAGGTCAGGCCCTCCAGCCAAAGTGAGAATGGGCAGAACAGATGGAGGGACACGGTGGCTCCGCAGACCAAGTCCTGGAAGCAGAGGACAGAACGGAGAGGCGGAGCGGAGACAGCGAGGGCAGGAAAGACAGCCTCGGGGGAGGCAGCAGGTACTCACTGTGGCCCAAGATGCAGGCTCTGGCAGCCCCACAGCAGCTTGGGTGAGACTCAGGGAGGTGGGTGGGATTGACAGCCCACTCCTCAACAATGTGCGGCCCTGGGGAAGGTTTTCAGACCTGCTGTAAGCCTCATGTCACCATCTGTAAAATGGAGATGCCGATAGTGGATACCTCATGGGATGACTGTGGAGGTGAGGTGAGCTGGGGTGTGGGGTGTGGGACCTCGGAGGTGTGAATCACCTGCAGGGTAGTTATATCTGCCTCTGTTCCCACCCTCCCCATAACAGCAAACACGGGCTGAGTACGTGCTCTGTACTGGGCACTATGCTAGGGCTTCTCATGAATTATCCCATGGCATCCTCATGCCCATCCCAGGAGGTGGTTCTCTGATCATCAGCCCCATTTCAGAGCAGAGAATTGAGGCACAGCACATGCCCAAGGTCAGGGCAGAGCCAGGCTTAGAAGGTTCCAGAGCGTGTGCTCCTCTCCCACCCCACCCACTGACCCTGCCCCTCCCTCTTGCTGTCCCTCCTCAAAGCACCAAGACTCCATGGCAAGGGGAGGGTGCAGCATGCCAGCTGCTCAACCAGCAGGGCCGACATTGGGGTTCACAGTGTGGGATAAAAGTCCCAAAAGGCCTCCTTATCCAGAAGCGTCTCCCCAGCTGGCATCCCCGGAGATTCTAAAAGCAAATTAAGGCACCATCTCCAGTGGTACCTGTTGAAATACATATGGATTCTCGGGAAAGCTCTCCCATTATCTCCTTAGCAGAGATTAGTCACTAGGGTTGGTTAGTTAGAGGGTTGACTGATTTCTGAGAGAGGCGTGCGGAGGTGGAGAAAGGACTGTGGCCTGGAAGAGCTCAGAACCATCCAGGGACAAATGAGGACAGTCCACACAGAGGGTCTGAGTGGGGCAGGTCAAGGCTCAGGAGACAGGTGTGGGGTGGCAGATGGGGGGGCGCAGCGGATCTCACAGTTCTTGTGCAGCAGCAGCCCATTTTTCAAACATTTTCCTCGGAAATGAAATTTCCAGACCAAAGAGGAGGGGGCAGCTTTACCTAAAATGGAGCTGGGAGAGGGGACACAGCCCTAATCTCTCACCCTGTTACCCCACCCGTCACCGCACCGCCAGGGCATCTCTGCCGGCCTTGGGACTCCCATTTGCCAATCACTGATCTTGAAGTAAAGAGCAGCAGCCTGAAGTCACATGAGGTGATCTGACCTGTGAAGTCTCTAACGTATCTCCTAGCTATGACATTCTAGGTGGTTTGGGGACAGGAACAAAGGATGCTGGTCAGGGACAGTCTTTATTGCTGAGTGAGGCACCAGGCTGAAGTCACATGGCCAGGGAGGCCCACAGACACACCCTGTTCGGCAAGGCTTTGTGGCCGCACTTCCTTTTCCACAGACCCAGAGCACAAGTGTAGATCTCTGTGGACACCTGGGATGGTGTGCAAGAACCAAAGGGGAGGCGTGGGGTCCAGTTCCAGACCCCCCAACTCCTTGCAAAGTCTCCCCTCGGCATTGTGCCCTTTTCGTTCCTGTACTGAGCAGCCGCGGGGTTAGGGAAGTGACATCATGAGGTCTGGGGTCAGAGGCCTGGGCAGTCCCCTGGCCATTAGGGAGCTTTATTGTCTTCCCTTCCCTCAGAACCTCGGGGGATAAGAGGGAAGAGGTGACCATCCTCCTTATGTGGCTGAGAAAAATGGGGCTCAATGGGATACAGTGACTCACCCAAGGTCACACAGCTAAACCCCGGCAGAACCACTAGGACCAGGTCTTTTACCTGGTGTCACTCCTGTGGTGCTCAGAGGCTGGGCCTACAAGGGAGGCTCTCAGCACCGGGGGCAGGTTAGACGCCCAGACCTCCTTTCTGCAGTACAGTGGGGTATCCAGCCCTAGGTTGCACAGACTGCCTCCAAAGCGGCAGTGGGGCGGGGTACCAGGTCTTGGGGGGACAGCAAAGGTCTCAACTTATCCCAGGGCACTCATCACTGCACAGGCCACTCAGGAGATCAGAGCCCAGCGCCTAGTAAGCCCGCCAGCAGGTAGACAAGAGCAGGACTAGACACCTCGCCTGGGGTGAGGCCAGGAGCAGAGCATGGAGCTCCCAGACAAGGGGTGTTTCTGCTGTTTCTTCCTGCCTCGGAGGAGGAGCTGGGGTCCCCCACAGAAGGGAACTCGCACAGCAGCCCCCTGGCCGGAGCCTGGGCCTTGAGCACCTATACTCACATTCCAGGGCCCTGTGGAAGGAAGGATGGTGCTGGAGTCTGCGGAAATATGCAAGGTCTGGAAGGGAAAGGGGTGGGCGAGGCCAGGGAGCTGTCGCATCAAAGGGGTGAGGTGTGCGGCAGGGTTCCCGTGCTGGCAGAAGGACGGCAAAGCGGGAGCTGACCATGTCCCCCCCATCTGAGCCCACACCCTGACCCCAAATCCCTTCCCTGGCCAGGGCAGCCCAGGAGGCTCCTCCAGCCCCCGCCCTGTGGCTGGAGGACTCTCCGCAGCCCCAGCTCTGTCATCTACCCCCCTCACCCCAGGCCATGTCTCCTCCTCTCCCACTGATTCAATTATTCATCGAGTGCAGTTCTCAGCGTTGGAGTTAAACTCCTTCCCCTCTTGGCAACTCCCAAGCCCTCCCCGCCAAGTTTGGGGTGGGGCGAAAGACGCTGGCGGGCTTCGTGTGGTGTTGATTAGAGTATTGATCCTGGCTGCGGCCTTGTGGTGGCAGGCTGAGCATCCATCAGTGCCAGGTGGGGCAGGTGGCGTGGGCCCCGGGGTCAGGACCAGAGCGTGCCCAGAGCTGCTCTCCAGGGTGGAGGAGGCGCAGGGCAGGGGCAGGCTCTGGTGCCTAGAGGTGTACTCCGAGTGCCAGGCGGGGCTGGGAGGCTGCTCCTTCTAATCCTGAGTACCCTGCTTCTCCCGCTCCGCAGAGCGCTCCCCTCCGTGCTCTGTGGCCCATTGCTGCGCAGCTGCCTTTACTGGTCGTTCTGGCAGACGGCCGTGCATGCCATTTACTGAACACCCACCGAATGCTAGTCCTCTGCCAGGAGCGCTTGATTTGTGCGGCAACCCAGTGAGGCTCCTCTTAGCATTCCGCCTTCCCTTATGCAGAAACTGAGGCTCGGAGAGGTTAGGTAAGGCTTGCTGAGCCCAGGAGAGGCCAGATCTGAATGTCACTTTTCCACCAGGCCACACAGCTCCCCTCCCAAAGAAGCAGTGATGTTAATTGCGCCGCTCTGGGCCAGGGACATTCTCCCACTGACAGGTCGCATTCATCTTGTGATGTAGAGGTTTATTATCCTCATTTTAGAGATGACGACACCTGAGCAACTTGTCTCCAGGTTGTATAGCTGGGAAGTGGCAGAACTGGATTCGAACCTTATGTGTGAAACTCCAAGGCTGAGCTCCTTAGGTGTGTACAACAATTCCCAGACTAAAAGTACTTTCACCAACACTGTCTCATTTTTCTCTTTACACTCACACTACAAGAAAATTGGAGTTATTGTCCCCATTTTTTAAAGGGGGATTCCAAGGCATGGTGTGGGTAAGTGGTCAGGGATGGCAGAACAGGGACTGGAGGCTGGGACCTGACGCTCTGATGCCAAATCTAACCCCCACATGGCTTCTCCGTGGGCTGAACTGCCACCTCACCTCTGCCCAGAAATCCACCTTCCTTCTCTTCCAGGCAGCCTTCTGGGAATTGCCTTAGGGTGGCAGCCTCTCTGGCCTCTCTGCTCCTTGCTAGAGCACAGATTAAGGGTGATACTAGGTTTCCTCTCCAGGAAAGAATGACATGTGCTTAGTTCCACTTTGAGGCTTCCCTCAGGCGCCTTTCCCCTACCCAGGACGCCCCTGGCTCCTTCCCTTCACCAGCCCTTCTCCTTCCCTGCCTGCAATCCCTGCTCAGGCACACTTCCTCCAGGAAGCCCAAGCCTGCCGACCCCCACCACCCACCATTCCCACAATCACCTGCTGCTTGGCTGCAGGAGGCTGAGGCCCCATCTTACCTCTCAGCTCAGAGGCCTTGGCAAGTGGCTTCTGCTCTCGGTTTCCTGTACACCTCATTACAACCACCCAGAAGCTCTGTAAACTACTCAAATGCCAGGGCCCCACACCTGAGGTTCTGAGTCAGTAGATCTGGGGAGGAGCCCAGGCACCTGCATTTTTTAAAGCACATAGGTTTTCATTCAACAAATATTTATTGAACGTCTGTTATTGGAAGTCTGGACCCTGGAGCCAGACTGGCTGTGTTCAAACCCCAGGTCCCCTGCACCCTGGGTGACTGGAGAGGGGGCCGAAGCTCTCTGTACCCAAGAGGGAGGGTCACTCCCTCTTAGTGTACAGTGTGCTTTCTGGGGTTGGTGAGAAGGACTGGGATGTGGAGGGAGCTGGGGGTGGGAGGAGCAGAATGGTGCCATCCTCGTCTTCAGGGTCTTGCAGTGGGCGAGAACCTCCAAGCTGGTGGCCTCTGAGGTCCCTGCCTGTAACTCCAGCGAGAAAATCTGTTCCCAGCCCAGGACAAATTACCTCTGAAACCGAAAGTTAGGGAAACCAAAATCAGTCAAAGGAAGAAATAAAGTGGGAGAAACCCATTTAGTGCTCACAGGCAGCCATCCACTTCTGCTCACCCCTGTCTCTCGTGACCCAGCTGCAAAAAGGGACCCCACCCAACCTCTCCTGTCCAGATACGCCCCCTCCCCCTTGTAATTACCTACTGATATGGAGATAGACTGCCTCTCTCCACCCCTTGGAAACACCTATTGATACGGAGATACATGAAGGCCAGGCAAGAGATTCTGGAAATATTGCAGTTTTACGCACACTGCCACATAAAGACCCTGGGACCCAACCGTTGCTTTCAGCCACTCCTCTTAGGAGCCTTTTGTCTGTTTCCTGACATCCCCAACCCTTGTGCCCCTCTAAGGCAGAGCCAAGGCTGCCTTCAGCCCGGGACCACTCCCTACCCCCAGGAGAGGGCCCTGCAGGCAGGCTGTGGCCCAGCAGGATATTTGGCCGCAGAGTCCCAGGCATCCCAGAAGTTCCCAACTCCACCTCCTCCCACCATCAGCCCTGGTTGTCATGCAAGGCGGGCAGGGAACCAGGCGGCGGCCATACCAACGCCAGCCCTGGAGTTAGCATTGACGATGGCGTTATGATTGCAAATTGATCTGTTGTGCACCCAGCTGGTTACCCAGAAGAGAGAAAGCAAGCCTTCGATACTGTATTATCCACCCGGATCCAGAGCCTCTCCCTTGGGCTACCCACGAGGGAGAGAGGGAGGGAGAGAGGAAGAAACGGAGCTCCTTCTTTGCAGGGTCCTAGGGAGAATGGGTGGGAGCCCGGGCTCAGTCCCAGCCTCTGCTTCTGGCCCAGAGCTAGCTTGCAGCTCAACATGGAACAGAGGCCTAAAACAGCAGGCAGCTTAGAAATGTATTTCCATCTAGTTTATAATTCTGTAGCTTGACATACATCTTGGAGCAAAGGAGAGAAAACTCACCTTCAGTCTGCTGGCTTGTGGGCGTGTGGTTGCATTTCTCCAGAGCTTCCAGTGCAGGGGGCCAGGAGGGGTGGTGGCGCTCAAGGCTCCGGTAAGGGAGACCTAGCCGGGGTGCCTCTTTGGAGGCTTATCCAAGGTACAGCTCTGCGGTTAGAACATGTAGAATCAGGTCCTGCCAGCTCTACACTGAGCCCATGTGTTCTGGGTTCCAGTGCCATGCCAAGTGCTGGAAAATCAGTGGAGGGAAAGGGGGCCACATGGCTAACACCATGCCAGGCTGCCACTGGGGGAAGCAGAGACCCTGGCTCTGGGCCCAAGTTTCACCTTCCCCGTGGGGTCTCTGGCTGACCCATACTCCAGCCAGATGACTCCCCCTTTAGGTCCCTACAGCTCAATGACGCAGCGGTGTGGAGGTGAGTGCCCAAGAAAATTCTTCCATGGCATCACAGGTAGCCAGGCAGTCAAATTTACAAGGCAAAGTAGCTCATTGTCAAAGTGGGGGCCCCCATGGGGTCCCTCCCTCTGGTCCTCTCTGCCTCCCCTTCGGCTGCAATCACAAGCTTTAGAACTTGGTTGGAGTCAGAAGCCTGGTTTTTCCTAAATGCATGAGCTCAGAAAGCCCCCTGGCCTCTCTAAAGCTCAGTTTCTCACCTGAATGAGGAGAATACAAATACCTCCTCCTAACGGTGCTGGTGCCGTGAGAGCTAAGGCCCGAGCGCAGGCCTGAGCACATGGCACATGCTTGACTTTGATGGCTTGTACTGCTCTCTGCAAGGTGGGTGCTGCCTTCTGCCCCTGCTGTCCCAGAACGTTTCCCAGATGCCCTGGCTCTTCTTTCAGTCACTCACAACAGCCATGTCCTCCCACTTTTAGGGAAAATACTGCCTGCCCTGGCAGGCAACCTGATCCTACAGACGACCTGCCCATGGCCCCAGCATTCAGTCAGGGGCAACCCCTGCACTGTATGCAGTGGAGGCTGACACAAACCCCAAAGAGGGGATATTTTTCAAGTAAAAGAAACAGCCACAGCTGTCCCCTCTGTGGCCACCTATTGAGCACCCAGCATGTGCTGGACATGGTGCTTGGCCGCAGAGTGGGGGGTAAGCGCTGATCAGGGTCAGGCCCACTCTGAGGACTCCTGGCCATGCAGAGAGAGCCAGGTAAGAGCGGCTGAGGGACATTTGAGGCGTCCTGGGAGCTGGTCCCTTGGGTAAAGGAAGACACCTCGGAGGAGGTAACACTCTAGCTTGAGTCTTGAAAGATGAGAAGGGATTCTTTAAGCACCTGCCGGAGGGAAGGGCATTCCAGACAGAGGCTGGCACAGAGGCTCCTGGGGTCTTGTCCCAAGGAGCCACTCCAGGCTCCATCACTGAATTCAACCAGCAGCCATTGAGCACCTGCCATGCACCAGGTCCCGGGCAGGGGCTGAGAGACTGGCGGCAGGGGTGGTGGGCATTGGAGAGACAGGTGGAACAATTCAAGGACCCTGTGCCCCAGGGCGGATGAGGCAGCTACCAGCAGGCACCAACACCCAGCAGACAGAGGGGCAAGCACCACGCAGAGGGAAGCAGAAGGGAGAGGAGAGTTTTGACAGAGTGCGGCAGGAGGGTAGGGATTTGGGGAAGCGTCCTCACCTGGACCTTGGAGGGAGGAGGGACTGGGAGAAGTCCTCAGGACCAGGAGCACCAGGTAGTCTCCCCCTACTTCCCCTCACCTGCTCACCCCCTTTTAGAGCCTTTGCCCTGACGCATGTGAAGCACCAGTGTCATTCTGACTTCCTTTCTTTCCCACTTAACAGGTCTCCTCCCTCCTCCTGGAGGCGTGGAGCTGTGTGCAAGCCGTGTGTGTGCATGAATGTAGGCACACACGTGCACCAGCATAGTGTGACAGCAGAGTGGGGCAGAGGAGACCCCGCCTCTCTGGGTGGGGACACCCATCTGGGGGCAGCCAGAGAGGGGGCATTTGAGGCCCAGTTCCCTGGCCTCTCCCCCAGCCCAGCCCCCCTCTTTATTTACCAGCCTTCTGAGGCCCGGGTGACCCAGACAGAGGATGGGGAATGGGATTCAATGCAAAGGTACATCAGGCTCAGACAGAGCAAAGATTAGAAAAGGGGGGAGAGAGGAAAGAGGACAGGGAGGGAAAAGCGTGGAGCAGTGCGTGTGCTTGCGAGGCAGCAGGAAGCAGAGAGAGGCAGGGCGAGAAAGAGGAGGAAGACAAGAGACTTCAGAGATGCCTATGTGCTGCCCTGGTTGGTCCAAAGCAGGAGCCCCAGGTGGCCAGAGGCTGCGGGCTCCTCACAGAGCTTGGGGATGGAGCCTGGGGCGGGCGGCCAGCCAGAGGGAGGGGCACGGGGAATGGTCTGGTCTGCAGATCCAGGAGCAGCGGGGCCGTGGGGCTGTGGACAGCGAGCATGCCTTGGCCTGGACTGGGAGACAGATGCCCCCAGCCTCTCTGGCATTGAGTCCCCTCAGCCCCTACTCCTCCGTCCCAGAGGGCCAGGTTCCAGCACACGGACGGAGCCTGAATGGACGTGACAGGGCCCTGCCCCTCTGGGCTTCCTGTCTCCTGCCCAGCCCAGGTGCTCAAGTCCCTGCCAGTCTCTACAGTGCCTTGCAAAGGGGTCAGCATGGCAGACTCATCTTGGGGCAAAGATGGGGTGCTGTACAATCCTTCCAAGCCCCCTTCACCCATGGCCAGATCAAGGAGCCTGACACTGCAACTGCCCAGCCAAGCCCAGGGGCCCCTCAGCCTCTAGGTGTGAAAGGGGCAAATTACAGGTGAACCATCTGCAGAGAGTGTCAATTCCAGCCCGATGACTCTGGAGAAGGAGGTGGGCCACCATGGAGTTTTGTCTGGGGTCCCTGGAGACTGCCCCCCTCAGAAAGGCTGCCTCCCAGCTCTCACCTGCAGTCCCAAATCACAGGCTATCCACTATTCCTGATCAGGTCAGAGACGCCCGAGCTGATGAGGCACAGGAGGCCCACATGACCTGGGACCCACTGGGCCTCCAGTGCTTCCCTCTCTCCTGCCTCCACCCTCAGCATTTGGGCCAGCCTGTCAGCCCTGCCTCTGGGATGACAGCCAGCATGCTAGGGTGTGGGGCGGAGGTGGGGGACAGTTATTACAAGCCAAAGAAGTCCCCAGACCAGAAGCCAGGAAGAAATGGATGAGCAGGCCACTTCCCCCTGCCCCAGAGCTAAGCCAAGGAGGAAGCAGCTGACATCAGCCCCCCTCTGTTCTGTGACTCACCATTCAGGATGGGATGTAATCCCCACTCCCCTCCATCTCTGCGTTTCTAGAAACCCATGCTCCATGAATTTTACATCAGGTTCAGAGGCAGGAGACATGCAGCAGACACTGAAAGGCTGCTTTCATGTTATGCTGAGGGTGTGTGTGTGTGTGTGTGTGTGTGTGTGTGTGTGTACCAAGTTGCACACACTAATACATGCCTATCCCAAGTATGCTCCTGCGCACACCGGCCCCAACCCCTTAACTTTAATGCACACACACACCACCTGTGCAACACTCTTGGACCTTCACACTCCCAGGCACACACCCCTGGACACACACACCCCTGGGCACACATCCTTCACACATCCCTGCAGGGCTCAGTCACACACTGAAGAAGCCCACCACAAAGTCACTCCCCGCCCCCAAGCCGCACACAGGTGCCCAGAGCATGCGGTCACCCTCAGATACCACGCACACACTCCCAGACTCCCGACAGAGCCCAGGGCTCTTCTGATGAGTTTCCTCATCTCACTCGGAGCAAATCCACGTCTGAGCGGACACAGTCACACCCACATTCCAACAGCCACCCGCCCCTAACACACAGCAGACGCTCCCACTGCACAGCCCACAGTCGTGACTCACACCACCCAGCGTGGGACACACACGGGAATGCTCTCACTGCCTTTTCTAAATGAAACTCTTTTTTAAAACTATGTGTGTTTCACTACTGGCAAAGCACTCACGTAGATCATCTTATTTATTGCTCACAACAGTGCCAAGAAGTGGCATTATTATTATTACCATTTATAGGAGGAGATAAAAGCTCAGAGAGGCTGGGGGTCTTTTCAGGGTCACACAGATTGTATGTAGCCGAGATGGGTGTGACCCAGGTTTGTCTGACTCCAGATACTCTGCTGGTCTTCATAGGCTTGTCACTGGACTACACAGCACCTTTGTGCAAACTAGGAAAAGGTGCCCCCTCCAGGCAGACGTGGCCCTGTGGCAGGGTCCCAGACCTGGCAACGGAGCAAGGGCTCAAGGTCAGACCTCCCTCACCCTGATGCCTCGGCCCCTGGGTGCTGATGGACGCCTGGACAACCACGCTCGGCAGCCCCTCTCCGCCCACCCACCTCCGCAGGGCCCCCTCCTCAGCATGACTCTCTCTTCCCCCAGTGCCCTAGACATGGGGGGCTACTTCCCCAAACCACCTCGGAGGCGCAGGTCCTCACTTCACTATGACCTCAAACCGCTGGCCCTGGCCCCAGGACGCTCGGCAAGGTCCTCCTGACGTGGCCTTGAAGGGGGGTTCCGCAAACAGCCGCCAGTTGGGCGAGCCCCGGCCCCCCATGCCAGCCTCGGTCCCTGATCCCTTCCCTGCATGGCACCAATGTCAGCACACAGAGGCCACCACACCCCGTCAGACCCCCCTGGTTTCAGCTCCCTCCCTCTTTCGGAGAGCTTTCTGGGGCTCAGCGTGCTGTTTGGTAAATAAATCGAGGGCAGCGGGAATAATATACCTGTCAAACAGCAGCCAGCTTCCAATTTCCGCTGTCAGCCTGCCTGGCCGCTCCATGCCGAGCCTACTGACATGGGGCCATGAGCAGCACATTTCCGGAGGTCCCTGTGGTGGGGAGGGGCAGGCCATTCCCAGGGGACTCCCTACCAGTGCAGACCAGAAGAAGAATTTCCAGTGCGAGAGCTGAGAGGGGAGGGGCTGAGACAAGGGTGGGCTCTGAGGGGGCAGGGGAGGCAGAGCTAGCACCACCCTTTGGCTCTCTCCACAGGAGGGGGCCAGGAAGGGTCATCGCAACCCATCACTGCAGGACCACCTGCCCCACACTGGTCCTTGCTGATACGGGCAGGCGATAGCATCTAAAGATGAGATCCTGGGGCCTGGGGGACAGATGGAAACCCCGGGAGTCATTGATTCTGGCCCTCTGCCCCCAGCCCAGCTGCCCTTTAATCATCCCAGTATTGAGAGGTCAGCCAGACCTAAAAGGTCTTCCAGGGAGAGCGCCATGCAGCGCAGCTGCAACATGCATTGAGGACCTATTGAGGAAGCGAAGCACAGTGAGTGATCTTAGGCAAAGCACTTGGCCTTCCTAAGCCTCAGTTTCCTTAGCTGTAAAATGGGGAGAGAATTTTTATGTCCTACGTCAGTAGAAGCTATACTTTGTGAAAACAAGGTTTTTTCCTTTTTTGTTAACTGCTCTACTCCCAGTGCCAAGAATGAGAGTAGGTATTTTTCGTTGAAATATATTGACACATAACATTGTATAAATTTAAGTATGTGTGTTAATTTGACACATTTATATGCTGTAATATGATTGCCATTGCAGCCATAATCAGCACTTCTGTCTTGTTACATAATTATCACGTTATAGGAATATTTTTGATAGTGAGTCTCTTTGAGTTAAAGAATGTAAAGTGCTTAGTAGGTGCTTATTAAATGGTAGCCCCTGTTATTTAAGATCATAGCCAAGCTAGTGGGAAACCCAGGTCCCCTGCCTCCTGGTGCCAGGCCACTCTCCACCTTTCTCTGCTTACCGGCATGACTGCCTTCCCCCTGCGCACCCCTCAGCCCTGCACCCCAGCCCCTGAGCTCTCCCTCCTTGGCGTGGCATAGGAGAGGGGGACCTTCTCCATGAAGGAAGGGGCAGGGCTGAGCCCCCTTGACACCCCCCTGTGAGGAGCAGAGGCAGAGCGGCCGCACTGAGCACGTTTGTTTCCATTTTGTGCAGAGGAACCAAAATAAGCACACAAACAAATTTGGTAACACAAGCTTGGGGGGTGGGGGGAGCACAGCCCCCCTCTACCCACCCCGCTGGGCTGCTGCTGTTTGCTCTCAGATATGAGGATGAGTAACCCCTGGCCACCCACTGAGCTGGGAAGCCATCCAGCTCCAGCCTCCAGCACAGACCCAGGGGGCTGGGGGGGCAAGAGACCCCAGCTCTGGCCCCTAGTTCTGGTGCCCCGGAGGGGAAAGGCCTTACCAGGCTGTGGCACATGGGATTTAGATCAGCTCCGTGGAGGCCCCCTGTCCCCCCATTTTGCTGCACACATGTCCAGAGAGGTTATGGAGCATCAGTCAGAGGGCAGCGGTGAGACATCCCCTGGGTTTTTTATCACTGGGGGCTGATGGAAAGGCCATCCTGCTGGTGGTCAGGGCTGTGGGAGCCACCTTCTCGGGGCCTGGCTGAGCCTGGGGATCTCATTGGTTACTCCTGTGTGCCCCCACACCGAGCAGGATCAACCTCCCCAGAATAGGAAGCTGGTCACTGCCCAGGTGGGGAGTGGGGTGGGAGTGGGGCAGATGTGGGGACAGCAGCCTGTATACCTGGGGCTCTGTGCAGCCCCCATCTCACCCTAGTGGGGCACAGGCAGGCTCCTGCTGTCGGAAGACTGGGAGGGCCTGGACCCAGGCGCAGAGCCTCGACCACTGCCCCACACATGAGCCGTGAACACCCCAAGGGAGAGAGACCCCATGAAACTCAGAAGCCACAGGTTCCACGGGCTGTCCTAACCCCAGCCCTTTCTCACAGTGCGCACACGCCGGGAAAGAGGAGGCTCTGGAGGAGGAGATGAACAAGGAACTGAGGCTGGAATGCAATCGAGCACAGCCCAGAGCAGGGCCGGACAGGGTGTGCCTCTGGGTAATACACACAGAGGTGCTGCCCATACTCAGCAGCAGCCCCGGATGTGGCAATCCTTCACACTTCCTGGTGGCCCTACCTACGTGCTACCTCTTCCCAGAAGCCTCTCTGGATTCCCTGTCCAGTACTCTCTCCCACTTTGCAGGGAGCTGCAGCACCATACGTTATGTGGAATCCAATCAGAACACTTTCTTTGGTCTTCAGGTGGATTTTTACATGCACAGTATGCACATACATAGACACAAACACATGCCTGTGTGCACGTGCACACACACATACCCACACACACAGAAACACACAGAAGAAGAATGCTCTGCCTCCTGCCGGGGCTCTGGCTTCAGTCAGATGCCATTATTCTGCTGACGTGTCAGTATCCGTGGGAGGGCTCTGGCTTATAGGGTGACCAAGTGTGACCTCAGCCATTCCCTGGTGTTGCTGCACAGATTCCTGGGACAGTGCGTGTAAGGGCTTGGGTGGTAGAGCAAACAGACCTGGGTCTGACTCTATGGCCCAACAATGTCTAGCTGTGCAATTTGTGGCATGTCCTGACATCTCTGTGCTTGGGCTCCTTGTCTGTCTATGGGGGACACTCTTAGGAGCTACCTTGTAGCATGCTGTGAGAATTAAATGAAAGCATGGCACAGAGAAAACATTCAATAATGCTTATTTTCATTATTGTCCCTTTGCAAAGGATTCAGGAGATGATGTAGATGATAGCGGATGCCAGCTCGGTAAACCAGGAGTCTCTTTCAAAATGTCCCATCTCTCCAGGCAGCATCATCCTCAAACTCAAGACAGGAGAGAAGCCGGGCAGGCCCAGGACAGCGATGGTCCACGCCGGTTCCCTCTAGCTCCCACAGAGAGCCCCTCCTCATGCACAGCACAATGCAAGCAGCTGCCCCAGCCCCCGGCACCCCCCCAGCTGCCCCTCAAGCCCCAAATGCACACCATGTGGCCCGTAGAACATTCAATGAGGCAGTGAGTGAACGTGAGGGGCTGGAGGGATGGTGTAGCTAAAAAGAGGAGGCAGCCCTGGGGGCAAACACTGGGGCCCCATAGAGTTGTGCTAACCCCAGCCTGTGGGCACACAGAGGCCCTCAGCTAAAGCAGGCTGGGAG